GGGGGGGGGGGGGGGGGGTGGGGGGGTGGGGTGGGGGGGGGGGGGGGGGGTGGGGGGTGGGGGGGGGTGGGGGGGGGTGGGGGGGGGGTGGGGGGGGGGGGGGGGGGGGGGGGGTGGGGGGGGGGGGGGTGGGGGGGGGGGTGGGGGGGGGGGGGGGGGGGGGGGGGGGGGGGGGGGGGTGGGGGGGGGGGGGGGGGGGGGGGGGGGGGGGGGGGGGGGGGGTGGGGGGGGGGGGGGGGGGGGGGGGGGGGGGGGGGGGGGGGTGGGGGGGGGGGGGGGGGGGGGGGGGGGGGGGGGGGGGGGGGGGGGGGGGGGGGGGGGGGGGGGGGGGGGGGGGGGGGGGGGGGGGGGGGGGGGGGGGGGGGGGGGGGGGGGGGGGGGGGTGGGGGGGGGGGGGGGGGGGGGGGGGGGGGGGGGGGGGGGGGGGGGGGGGGGGGGTGGGGGGGGGGGGGGGGGGGGGGGGGGGGGGGGGGGGGGGGGGGGGGGGGGGGGGGGGGAGTCTAGGCTGATAGGGCAGATGAAAGAGGCCCCTGACGTTCTTCGTTGCCCTTTGTTGAGGAGTCTCCAGAGCAACAAGATTCTGTTTCTGCCACGGCTGCCACACTTGAATAGCATATACCACTTGCGGTCGAACGTATGCGTTATCTGGGGAAAGATTGAAGGTTCAAACCAACCGAAGACCCTGCGAAGAAGGTCGAAGTGTTGATTTCCGGTTCTCGTCGCCTTCTCTGCTTGTTTTGAACACCCGAGATCTTCCTGCACCAATGCACGCAGGTCACGCTCCTGAGAGACATTCTCCAAGGTGTGGTGTCCAAGCTTGCAAGTGCTCACAGGCTGGTGACACAGATGTATCACCTTTCACTTAGCTATGTTCTATTGAAGTATGTTCCTCTTTGACCATGTATAAATGCTATCTAGGTCATGTTGGAGCAGATCATGATCTTCATTGTTACTAATTGCTCGCCATAACTTGATGTCATCGGAGCAAAGCAGGAAATTTGAAGAGATAACTGGTGCCAGGTCGTTGACAAACACCAGGAATAAGCGCGGTCCCAGCATTGATCCTTGTGGAACACTACATTCCACCTCAGTTGGGTTAGAGAGTGATCCCCTAAAACGTACTTGAAGCTTCCGTTGGTGAAGGAAGTTGCCAATCCAACCAAGTACAGGATCTCCGATTCCGTAACTCTGTAGTCGTTGAAGTAGGATGCGGTGATCAAGAAGGTCGGAAGCTTTGGAGAAGTTCAGATAGATGACGTCGACTCCAACCTCATCATCGGCCACTTCCGTCCAACTACCTCGTGCAATCAGTAGGTTGGTGGTGCATGACCGGTGTTGACGGAAGTCATGCTGTTCCGGTGCCAAGAAGCTGCATTTTTCCAGGTAGTCCATTAAAGCCTCAGTGACGACTGCTTCCATCACCTTCGCAAGCACAGGAAGGAGAGGCACTGGAAGATAGTTTGCAGGATCTGAACGGCTACTGCCTTTAAAAATAAGGATGATAGTCACACTCCCACGTAGTGGGGACTTGTTGTTCATCGAAGCATCTTTGGAAGAACTGTGACAGTGGTTCAGCTAGCTTGTTAGCCACAGCCTTCTGTGCCTTCGGGCGGATGTTGTCTGCTCCCGGAGAACTACGCTCACGCAGTGAGATTAACTTCCTTAATATAATTGATGGGTTGAAAACAACATTTGTAAACAATGATGTCGATAATGTGCATGACGTTATGGGACAAGCAGAGGTAGCGAGTTCGAAAATTGGGGCGTACTGTAGCCGCAGGGCATTAGCTGCTTCTTCGGCGCTATGAACTCTACCGCCTGCAGTGAAAAGTGGAGGGATTCCATGGTTCAATTTACGAAGCTTATTGACGTGCCCATATTGTAGTTTGTTTGCCATGAATTTTTGGTTAGGCACTGTTGACAAGTTACTTTGTCCTCACGGACAAATGCAGTGCAATAGTTGCGATGGATCAGGAAATTGCCCCAAGTCTCTGAGTCGGGGTTAAACTTGTAAGCATGCCATGTTGCATCCCGTATCCACAGGCATTTTCGAGTCCTGCTCTTTAGAATTGAAGGCATTTTTGCGGGACGAAGGAGCTTCGTCTCTGATGCTCTGTTGACGGTGTCCTTGAGTCTATTAGTGAACGCTGTCCAAAACTTGCCAAGGGGACTTTCGCTTGAAAATTCCCAAGCAGCTGCGTCTGCGAGTTCTGTTAATACTTGGTAGTGTGTGATCGTATTAGTTCCGAGTGTTCAGATGGATACTCTGCATAACACACCGTTTAACGTTATTACTACATGGTCACTGGCACCTAATGACTTGTCAACCATGAGCTCTTCATTCGTGAGCACAAGGTCCACTATGGATAGTTTGTTTGTTGTCCTGAATCTAGTGGGCATGGTGACATGATTGTACAAAGGAATGTTAGTGATCAGTTCATGCAAGTCTGCTTTGAACTGCTCACTGGGCGATGCCGAAACCTCTAGATTGTGTAGATTGAAGTCCCCGGAGTTGAGAATGTGGCTGTACCTAGTGGGTGTTACTCTGTTCAGGCCAAGTATCAAACGGGAATCCATTGTCGGACTGGACGTTGGGGAGTGGTAAACGATAGCTATGAGACCTGTGTCGTTGTGTCTCAGTCGGAGACGGCACCAGAGTGAGTCGGTAACGTGTGCTTCCAGATCATCAACTAGTGTACATTGCTGCGGTTGTAGAGTAAGACCCCACCTCCTCTGCTGGGGCGGTCGTTCCGGATGAGCGACAATCTGGCTATCTCAACCTCAGCATCAGTCACCTCTTGGTGTGACCAAGTTTCGGTAATAAAAATTAGGTCCCAATCATTTGCAACCTGAGGTAGTCGAAGATTGGTAATTTTACTGAGGAACGCTTGGGTGTTGGTGTACTCACATGAAAGTTGCTCAGATTTAAGAAATGTTTCATAAGTTGTACAACTCGGATGTGAAGTTTCGCCGACCAGTGAGTGGCCGGCCCAAATCCTTTTTTCGATGTATACTTGGTGAAGGGTTTAACGTCTTGTTCATCGCCCGTGTTGTTAGTTCCGTGTCTAATCTTCTACGTACAGTGTAAGGTGTCTGGTCAATGTCATCTTCTACAGGTTGTATGGGCTCATTTGGCACACTACTGGTGCATTGTTCTTCCATAGATCCTAACGCGTTTGGTTCTTTGAGTGACATATCATCTCTAGGATGCATATCGCTGATTGTCTTCAGCCGAAGCTTAGATGTTAGCCCGCAACGGAACATGTACCAGCTTTCTAACATCCGTGCTACCATATGTCTTGACTGAAGGACCACCTTCAACACTCTCGGGCCACTTCCTTTGTAGTTCGGTGAGGAACGCAGCAATAACACGGAATTCGTTAACACATCATCTAAGCAGAGTGTTTCACGAATACAACACCATTGTACTTCATCATGGGTTACTTCATGCTCATCACATGCTTCAGTTTCAAGAACCCCGTGAAGAAGTATGGTTCTGGTTGAAGTTTCCTTCCGGTAGTCCTCTATGGTGCGATTAACTCGATAATGCTCTTCCCATGGGATGTCTGGAAAGATACCGATGGAGCAACGTTCATTTCTGAAAATACCTGTCGACGGTAGTACTGGTTCTACTTCAGTGATGGAGTTCAGCACAACGCGCGGAATTCTAGGCTCACCGAAATGATTGGAGTTGGGGTGTCGTATAATACGCACTACGTGTACAAGTTTCAGTACAACTTCGAGAAGATTACTAATAATGTCCCACCGGTTGAGGTCATCCAACTGCCTGCCTCTTACTGATGTCGACTTTGATTCTAGGATATTGGAGCACAGTACGCTCAGTACAGCTAGTTGTTTCTTTAGACTATTCGGCATGTCCCGGGTAGGGATTGAAGTACTCGAAGATGTACCGCAGGAAACCGGTGGTGCTTGCACTAGGAAAACTCCGCTACGCTCCTCAGTTTCAGATCCAGTTGGGAGTGATGTTAGTTTTAAATGACGGTTCTTCTTGTAGGCAACCGTAACCCAACTTTCGCTCGTACCGGCTTGCTCTTTTTCTACGGACTCCGTCAGGAGTTTGGAAGTAGCCTTACGTATAGTTACTCCGATCGAACTGGGAACCGCTTTGGTCAAATGTGAGCTACATGTGGTATTGGGACAGCTGTTGATGTTCTGGACTCTAGGGGTCGTGTTGCTTACGGGGTTACTAACAGTTCTTCGCGGGTTTGGAGCAGCAACCAAGGGTGAGGATTGGGTTGCACAGTCCACTGTGCTTACCCCAACCTTAGTGATTTTGGTGGTCACCATTTCCTCAAAATTGGCTAGTAGCTGGTCATAATTATGAGATAATAGGAGCACGATTGCTGGACTACAATGTCCCACCGAGGTGGAATATTGTCGCCGAACATTTTGCTGGAATGGGATACACCCGATCAACCCAGGTGGCACCACAAGGTAGTTCGGCAAGCCAGGAGAAACCACTCATGAAGCACGGGGACAGTTGGGTCAAAAGTTAACAAACGAAAATGTAAAATGTTGATGAAATTCAAACGAAGTTCTTTGTTTCTATCTTAAACCCATTTTAGACGCTTGGTGGGGAAAATCATTCTGGAGGCAAGAGACGCAAGAAGTGCAGTTTATAAGAGCATAATGAAATGCTAAGCAAATTAACTTGTGACGTTGCAACTATTTTCAACCGTTTTGCCTATCACTTTTTAAAAATATTGGTATCTGCTACGACTGGCTCTGAAAGCCAAATCCTTCATTGATCCAGGGTATTCGGGTGACATAGCCGCAAATACAGAAGTGACTCAAACGCAGGCGACAGGATTTATTTCATTAAAACAAAGATCAGTTGAAATCCTTTGTGTGTTGCTACATTTAGCTAATGTAGAGAAGTAAGGCACATGCCATGTCGCACGTATAGAGCTGACTTGATCCGATCTATCGCTTAGTTTGTCAGCTGGCGCTTATACAGGGTTCACATTTGGCCATGCAGTTTAGGCTTGCGCGTTTCGCTTTGGTTGTTGTGACCTCGGCTTCGGTTTCGATTTCGCCCGCTCATATGTTTGTTTACACTCATCTTTATCCTTGTAGTAATTGAACACTTCCTTCCATTGTTTTCGGTACTCGTCATAATCCGATTTATAGGCGTTCGCCATCAGTTTGGGCATTGTGGTGGGATCACATTCTTGCACATCGCGCTGAAAGAAGAAAAAGGTAACTTTTCTGCGAATCTGTATGGAAATATGCGCAAAGGAATTAAAACGCGAGAAATGGAACCATCCGATGCATGTGGTGTATCGTTCTGGGCATCTTATATGTGTCGCCTTGGAAAAATACAAATAAGAACCCTTAAATGAATGGGGTTATACAGGCTTGAGATGCAGTAAATGATCCATTTGCTGTTGTCAGTTATGTAAATCAACTGCTAGCTGTCCGTTGTGCATGTAACTGGTGATGAACCACTGCTCAAAATCGAGCCATGACATCTTAATCTCTCCTCGATATTTACGCAAAAGTACACCAACTTACCCTCTAATATCAAAATAGTATCATAACCATAATCATCCGCATCATTATTATACACGTTAGCTGCAAGTGGAAAACACCTCAGCTATCGTGCTGCAATACAAAAGACAAGGAGAAGAAAAAAGCAACAGTGGCACGCCTTTTGAGTCCGCAGTAACGGATTGACATGGTTCCGGAGAGCTAACAGCCAGCTATTGTGCCGCAAACTTATATTATGTTTAACAAATTAGATCGTATCGTAACCGTAAAGGTGAGATTTATCTCTGATTGGACTCTACAGGCAGATAGCAGGAACTAGCAACAGTACTCAGGGAACGGCATTTGTCGATGGGTCATTGCTATCAGGCTATCGGAGCCACTGGTCAGGAACATACTTGTTTAATATAGCAGATTGTCCACATTACAACTCTTAACTACGAATGTAACTCAATTTGCCTTGAGGTAAACGTCTTTGATTGCAATCAGTGAGAACGTGCCCGAAGTGACGATATTTTCGAGCTGCAATCAGGTTCGCTCATGCAATCTAATGCTGACAGCGTAATAAGCTGTGGTGTTAGGCGAAAACTCCTACTGCGAAAGCAATAATCTGGCTTAATCGAGCGGGAGGGCAATTAATCTAACTAACCAATCATGATGACTGAGGCTAGTACTCTCCTACTACTGTTACAGTGGCTGCTTGTGAGGTGGACTCCCTAACTCGCAATTATTATCTCACCTATTAATTAGTAATCTAGCTAACAGATCTCGAAAGGAGATAGTAGGAGGCTCAGTGAAATTCGGTATTATTATTATTATTATCATCCATCGTCAGGTTCAAGAGGTATACAATTTCCGCGTAAGCGGCGAGAAAATCACTTGGCATCAACACAACGTTGACATCAGCTGAGAAAGTGAGGGGCTTTTTGCCACCGTACAACTTCAATGACATAAGAATGAATAATAATAATAATAATAATAATAACGGAGGAAACAGGTTCCAAGCCCCACCTTGCACCACTTCGTGTTCCAGTTGCTTATCCTTTTGTGAGAACTCGTACATATAACATATATAGCAACAACTTTGCACAGTACACGATGTTTCAACGAGTATTGTCTTGTTGCATGCCGTTCTCTTTTTAGTGTGTTTTTCACCATATTTCTCTCTGGTTGTCTTTTCGGCTGCCTCCTTTCCGTTACCATCCTTATCAGTTTTCAGAGACAAGTCAACTGGCAACTGATGAACTTTGCAGTAACTTTAGATGGTACATCACCAAGGATTCCGATCCTTACTCCAAAGTAGCTAACGGTTCTCTCAAGTGAATATAGATAGGAATTCAGATCTGCTCAAAGTAGCCGTTGAACGGAAAATGGACGATTAATGACTTGGAAAAACAACGCATACATTCGGTTCAAAGACAAATCAATTTAAGCCACCGAAACAATTTGTAATTACAATAATAGCTGCATCATCATTCGTGCTTATCGCTACCGTAGCATTCACAAAACAATTCTCTATTTCAGTATGAAAACCACTTGCGATGTCGACTAGGTATTATAACCACGGCCCGCGTCCTGGAATTCATGAATGCACGCGCTTACTTTGCCATATCTGAGCAAATTGTAATCGTCGCATATTTTCTTGTACCTAACTGATCATGCACTCTGACGTTCCATGTAGAACATTAAGCGTACATTTTTACTTGATCTTATCTCAGTTTGTTCAGTGTCATTACACCTATAACATACGGTCAAAAAAGCCTGAGTGCAGTGCAGTCGTAAGACGATATCGGGGGGACGGATTCCTTGGGGTCTTCACTGTCCTGCGGCATGATCAACCATTACCACGAAGATAACTTAGTACCAGAGAGACTGAACAGCAGTGGGGTAAGAAGCGACAGCAAGACGTTACTGGCGCCATCTCTCAACGAATATCGATCTAAACACAGAGTTCATGGTAAGAAATGTAGCCACAGAGGCGAGACGGTTCGACAGCACTCAGTTTAGCCGTAACTAAATTCAGTACCACCTATCAACTCCATTTTGCCGATCATTTGACTTGTGCCATTCAGCATCCGGCAACCAAAACAAGGCTCACCTCGGTAAGTGGTGACTGAACGTACGCCGCGCGTGCTCAGGCCAAGAATATTTATTCAGCTTTATCTATTGTTCTAACGCAGACATTCTCAACCTCTATTCAGCCGTGGTCCGCTCTTGAGCCTTGCCATTTCTCATGATATCCCGCTCTTGAGCACTACAATTCGAGCAATTCACAACGCGTTACAGACGCAAATCTGTGGTTTCCAGCGGTCATTTTGGTATAATTTTTCTGACGGTTAACTTTTAATGCTGGTATAACTGATTCATCCCTTCTAAACCTCATATTTTAAGTTTCATAGCTTCAAGTTAACATTCATTGTGCGGCAACATCAAGCCGCTTGTCTGTAAGTACACAAAAGTTGTCATTAATACCTCAAGTTGTATTTAATTATTTTGGTATTTAACTGTAAGGTATGTCATGAATGAGACGGTGCAGTCCTCTCTCAACGACGTTCCTCGAGATATTAATGCAAAGTTTGGGCCTAATGTCCTTGTGCAAGCTAGCTTATGTCCGGCTGCAGAATTGACTGTGAGAGTCGAATGTCTCCGCTTTCTGTGATTCCACCTTTTGTTAGGGAAACCACTTTGCTGAACCCACATTTTAACCTTAGGAGTGAATGGAAAAAGCTAAGAAATATATTGCAGCTATTTCTCTCAGTAGTTAACTAAAGATCCCTTTTATATTGCATGAATTTGGATTTTGCTAATGTGTCACTTTGAAGCTCCATGAGAATTTCCTGGGTTGTAACTCCAGTATCAAAGGGCTGTACAACAAATGAACCTGAAATCAAAATCGGGACTTCCATGTCAATCAAGTCATAAAACCTGACTTTCGTCTCTTTATAGAGTTAATGGAAATGACTGACATACACAACCAAGTCTTCATAATTCTGCTTCGCCCTGACTGTAGCAAGCATAAGCAACTGAAACTTCACAACGCCCGATGTTTTAAGCATACATTGGCAGCCTTTTAAGAAAAGCGATCCTGGCTTTTCTGCTGGAAATGAGAATACTCATCAGCATACACGTTAGCTAGAGGTGAGGAATACCTCAGCTACTGTGCCGCAATACAAAAAAATGAGAGAGAAAAAGAAACAACTGGTGAAAGCTGGCTGAGCTACCTGTAACGGATGGGCATCGTTCCGGTAAGCTACCAGCCGGCTACTGTGCACCCAAAAAAATTATTATGCAAAATTATATAAGGCTAAGTAATGAGATCGTGGTTGGAGGGGGAGGCTAATAGGGATGGGGTGGGACTAAGAAACTCACAGCATGAACGCCACTGAGGTCGGCTCCTAGCCACATCAGCAAGTGTGTCCAACCAAACGTGTTCATTGTCTTTCGCACCCCAACCTGGGAGCCCAGACGCTCCAACCGAGGTCAGCTCAGAAGTGAGGGGCCTTCACTCCTCTCGACCAAGTCATCGCTTGGCCACCCCTCCTCTTCTTCCATCCACACCCCCGGCGTGCGAACAATGCACGTCTCGGGAGTCGATGGACTGGCATGCGTAACACGGGGCCGAGCCATCGAAGCCTGATGCGTGAAATAACGGTGCTGAGCGGTTCAGTTCCTTTTCCTGTGCCATGAACAATGCGTCGAATGCGCTCGTTGCTCACGTGATGATCTCATAGATGTGAGCTAAATAACGAAGGCACCGGTGGTCGACCGTAACTAGCCTCTTCAGGTCCGCTGCTTTAAGCGGCCAGGTTTCACAACCGTACAGTAGGGTCGAACGTACTGCCGCATTGTACACTCTACCCTTCAGGGCAAGAGTGATGTCGCGCCGCCGCCATAAGTGGCGAAGGTTAGCAAAAGCGCCCCGAGCTTTTGCTATACGATTCGTGATCTCATCTTCAATCCCACGGGCGCTGATACAACTTCCCAGGTAGTTGCATTTTTGAAAGAGTTCTAGCTGATCCCCACCAAGGGTCAGCGTAGGAGGCGGTCCAGACCAATCTTGGAGAAACGCTTTGCACTTCGAGGGTGCGAAGCAAAGCCCGAAGTGACGGACAGCTAGTGCTGATCTGTCCAGTGCCGCTTGGCACGTTTGTGAGCTGTCACAGATCAGGGCAATATTATTAGCATACTCTAAATCAAGAAGTCGTTCTCCTGGGAGTAGCTCCACACCTTCTAAGTCGTGTCCTGTGAACGCGATTTCCATGACTTCGTCAACAGCGAAGTTGAAGAGGAAAGGTAACAGCGGGCATCCTTGTCTCACGCCGCTGGAGATATTAAAGGGCGACGACAACTTGCCGTAAGCCCTCACTCTGCCCGAGCTACGCGCATATAATGCTTGGATAATATTCACATATTTCTCAGGTACACCTTTCCTGAGTAGACAGTCCCAAAGTGCATGTCTATCCATTGAAACGAATGCACATTTGATATCGAGGAACGCGAAAATGGTGGGCCACCAATATGGGTGACGGTGCTCCAACAACTGGCGCAAGGTGCGGATGTCGTCAATGCAGCCTCGACCTCGACGAAATCCAGTTTGCTCTTCCCGAATCTGGCTTTCACGAGTGCCAGTCAGTCTGTGGAGGATGACAGAGGCAAGCATTTTGGAGGCGACGGAGATCAGACTGATTCCTCTATG